CACTGCTATAGGAGGTCCCATCAAGATGTTCTCCTCTCATAGGGAGAAAGGGCCTTTGGTAATTACCGTGAAGGGTCCTTCTCCTATGAGATAAGGAGGACATCTTGGCCCTCCCGTGTCATCGTCATCTTTTTCTGCCAGTTCTATATCTTCCTGCAGAGCCCCCCCACCCTTGCTGCCTTTTTCAGGACCATGCCGGAGCCCCAGGCCTGAAAAACGGCCTACAGAGCTCCCCCCTGCCCTCACCGCCTTTTTCAGACCCCGCGCCAGAGAGCTGGGCCTGAAAAACAGCCTGTAGAGCACCCCTGCCACCTTTTTCAGGTCCTGTGCCGGAGCGCCGGGCCTGAAAAACAGAGCTCCCCCACCCTTGCTGCCTTTTTCAGGCCCCATGCTGGAGCGCCGGACCTGAAAAACTGTCTGCAGAGCGCCCCCCCCCCATTATTTAAACTGCTTCCCCTCTCCTCCAGCAGCTGGCTTGCTTGGGCTCTTCGCAGCCGCAGGGATCCTGACCAAGCCAAGGGAAGGACAGGTGGTTTAAACCGCCTCCCCTCTCCTCCAGCAGCCGGCTTGATTGGGCTGTCCACAGCCACAGGGAACCTGAGCAAGCCAAGGGAAGGGAAGGCGGTTTAAACCGCCTCCCCTCCCCTCCAGCAGCCGGCTTGATCAGGCTGTCCACAGCTGCGGGGATCCTGAGCAAGTCAAGGGAAGGTGGTTTAAATCACCTCCCCTCCCCTCCACCAGCTGGCTTGATCAGGCTGTCCACAGCCACAGGAATCCTGAACAAGCCAAGGGAAGGGAAGGCGGTTTAAACCGCCTCTCCTTCTCCAGTGGTCCAGGAGTGGAGCAGTCCTTTGGACTCCAAACTCCTGGGTTAGCTCCTCCCTCCTCCGAAAGCAGGGCCGGCAGACTCTTCAGGCACAGAAAGGGAGGGGCTTGTCCCTTGGATCCCAGTCTCTCCGGGCCTGCTTGCAGAGCAGGTTGTGGTGGACTGTGCTGTCTTAGAGCACTCGAGTTGGATGAAAATCAAAGATAGAAGATAAGAAGAGCACGGATAGACTCTTCAGGCACAGAAAGGGAGGGGCTTGTCCCTTGGATCCCAGTCTCTCCGGCCCTGCTTGCAGAGCAGGTTGTGGTGCACTGTGCTGTCTTAGAGCACTCGAGTCAAAGATAGAAGATAAGAAGAGCACGGATTTAGTGGAGGAGACCAGCATCAGGTAGCAACACAGCTTCCCTGTTTGCTGAGGTCCCGGATTCCTCTGTGGGGCTGTAGACCTGGGTAACCCCTGGGGAACAACGGCCCTGACGAGTCCCACGCCGCTCTGCTGAATCCAGAAGAGGACTGGCAAATTGAACTCTGTTCTCTCTCTATAGGGAGTTGACTGCAGACTTGAGCGGCGGGGACAAGCGCATCGGGGCGCCTTGACTCCGACCGAAGTCGGACGTTCCTTGCTGGCTCCTTGTCTCGGAATGGCATGAGAGGCCAGGAGGACTACCTTCGGAACCACGGTAAGCGAGGAGAAGCCCCATGGTTCCTGAATTATTGCGTATGGGGTTCCCACTGTGCCCTCTTCCCCCCCTTTTGTTCCCCCGTGTGTGACGCGGGAGGGAGACTAGTAGGGTCAGGGAATGCTAGTCCTGTGGAATAAGGGCTCTTGCGTTTGAGTAAATCCCTTTTCCCCCTACCTTTCCCGCTTAAGGAAGTAGAGTACAAGGTGTGAGAGTAGCAGGCGCCATGTGGCTTCTATTGCCTAGGAGCTTACTCATGGCAAAAGTGGAACTAGTCCATGAGGAGTTTTGGCAGGAAAAGAGGCCATTTTGTGGACTGTATCCTATTTTCACTTTCAGGTTTGGTTCCAAAATGGCTGACAAGGATACTACTTCCCAAGCCGTCTACACAGAGACTTGTTTTTTTGAGTTGGCTGAGTCTCCTTCTTCTCAGCCCACACAGACAAAAGTCCCATTAGAGGGAGTTGAGAACCCTGGGGCATTCCATTCCTGATTAAAAACAGAAATGAGGAAAGAGTTTAGAGTAATGGGTCAGGAATCTCAGGAACAATGGAATAAGCACCAGGCCTGCAAGAGGCATTGCTGGGGAGCTGAGGAGCACTCTGCTCCAGATAAGAAAAGGAGCAAGACAACATCTGATAGGGAACATAGTCCTTTATTGGAGGGAGACTCTGACTCTTCATCTTCATCCTCTTCCCCTGGGTCAGCTAAGGAAGAGGGGGAGCTCTCAGAGGAAGAAGAGGAGGTGGTTCCCACCTCTCAGTCCAGACTTCTTCCACAAGAGCTTTATGCTAGGTTGCTCCACAAGGTGATTAAAACCTTGGAGCTGACATATACTTCTAAGGAAGGAGAGGAAGAGGAGGAAGAGGTTAATTTTCCGAATGGCTTAGAAAGGGCTATCCCCAAGCCTAGCCAAAAGGTGGCTGGAGTTCCCCTACCTGTTTCCTTCTACAAGGTGATGACCACAGAGTAGGAACACCCTGCTAAGCCCAAGGCTACCAGCCCTATTTTTGGAAAATTCTACTCACTTATACCTGAAGCTTCTAAAAAGTTAAAGTTGCCCACAGTGGATGACCCCATTAATAGTCTGGCCTCTACTTCAGTCCTTCCTATGGGAGCGGATGGTCTCCCTAAGGACAGTTGTGATAAAAGAATTGAACAAGCCTTACGCAAGGACTTTGAGGCTTCAGCAAATTCTCTTAGAGTTTCTGTCACAGTTTCGTTGTTTGCCAGGGCGGCCTACACCTGGGCATCTGACTTAGCCAAGGCGGACAGTGACATACCAAAAGCTTTGAAGGTCGAACTTTAAAAGATAGCCCTGGCCACTGCCTTTGCTGTGGATGCAACTTTAGATGCAGTACAGCAATCGGCCAGGAGCATGGCTTGTAGCATCACTGCACGGAGAAATACCTGGCTTGGAGGCTGGGATGTGGATCCCTCTGCGAGGTCTAAAGTGGCTTCTGTGCCCTTTAAGGGTGCTAAACTGTTTGGGGAGGATCTCGACCGTTATCTAGTGGAAGATAAAGACAAGAAAAGGGTACTTCCACTTAAAAAGAAAGAAGTGAAACCCAGGTGTTTCCAGCAGTCCTTTCATGACTTCTGAAGGGACTCAAAGTCGAGCAATAGCAGAACAGGTCCAGGTCTCAATCAAGGGGTCCCCCTGCCCAATGGTCTAGCTCCACATCGATTTTCTGCCGCAAAGTGAGCAGGGCGGTGCGGAACTGCATGCAGATGGGGCAATTTGGGGGTTGAGTTGCAATGAAACTGGGGGCCCCTTGTAACAACCCAGAGCCCCATCAATGACTGCGGGGAATTCCCTGCAAACCTCAGCAAAGTCCCACGGTGCACATTTATTCGCCCCTCCTACTGTGATGCCCAATGGTGCAAACCACACACGGCCCAATAAGCTAACCAAGTTCCCTGGTCTGCTCATCGGGATCCCATCCTTGTTGCCACTGAAAAGTACTGGGTTCAACGCATGGAGAACTCGGACTATGACATGCATTCAGACGCGTTTATTGTACTTCACAACAAGACAAGGGAAAACCGCCCTGCAAGGCCAACTATATACACTCCACCCGGCACACATCTGTCCCCATTGGAGGGTTTGAATTTCCCGCCAAGGGTGCTGTTGGTGAACTCGAGGTGGACTAGGATCCTAGGTCTCCTTTGTGTTTGGGGACCAAGCTCCTGCTTTAGCCGCGGACCCCTGTTGGTGGTCCGCAAACATAACACCTTCCCCCCAGCAGCCGGCTTGCTCTGGCTCTCTGCAGCTGCGGGGAACCTGAGCAAGCCGAGGGAAGGGAAGGCGGTTTAAACCACCTCTCCTTTCCTCCAGCAGCCAGCTTGCTCAGTCTGTCCACAGCCGCGGGGAACCTGAGCAAACCGAGAGAAGGGAAGGCAGTTTAAACCGCCTCTCCTTCCCTCCAGCAGCCGGGTTACTCGGGCTCTCCACAGCCGTGGGGATCCTGAGCAAGCCGAGGGAAGGGAAGGTGGATTAAACCACCTCTTCTTCCCTCCAGCAGCCAGCTTACTTGGGCTGTCCACAGCCGCAGGGATCCTGAGCAAGCCAAGGGAAGGGAAGGTAGTTTAAACCGCCTCTCCTTGCCTCCAGCAGCCGGCTTGCTCGGTGTCCCTGCGCAAGCTAAGGGAAGGGAAGGTGGTGGAGCAGCTAGAGACATTGAGCATCAGCTCCATGAGTAATGAGCGCTCAAGCCCTGCCCCCAGCAGCCCTCAGGCTGGAGCACCTGGAACAGTCTTGGGAGGTGGATTGGCAAAAAGCAAAACCAAAAGCCACGGGAACTCGGGAGAACTCCGGGAATGGAGCTGGTTCCTCTTCCACAGCCCAAAATGCAACCCACGAACCCTAAGCTTGCTTTTTCTCATTTGAGAGGCTGGACTCCGTGGTCCTTTAACGAGGCAACCCTGAACCAGTGGGTGGTGGGAGTTTCTTTGCGTGCAGCTTGTGTGGCTGGGCAAGCACCTCTTCTGCTTGCCCACCTCTCGCTTCTGCCAGGCATGGAGGAGCCCAGCTCACCAAGGCTTCCTGCCTCCTGCTGCCTTGGCCTTCTGGTGCATGGGTGAGTCCCCAAAGTTTGACTCTTCCTCTACAAGTCTCTGGTGCTGGAGGTATTCACCTCTTTGCCTCCTGCCTGCTATGGCTGCATATTTGTGAGAGATTTCTTAACATTGTGTTCCTGCCAGGGAAGCTGGGGACCCTGCCTGTGAGTCTCCATTTCATCCTCACAACAACCCTGTGGGGTAGGTTAGGTAGAGAAGGGGAGACTTGACCCGGGGTCACTCAGCCAGCAGAGTGAGAATACAAACCTGGGTCTCCCCATGTCAATCTGCAACTCTGACCACTGTACAGTGCTGCCTCTACTGATCTGTAATGTTCCAGAGGTGTTGTAATGTAATACTCAGTTTCTCAAATGTGTATGCCTGTCTGTTGGTCCAGTTTGGTGTAGTGGTTAAGTGTGCGGACTCTAATCTGAGAGAACCGGGTTTCATTCCCCACTCCCCCACTTGCGCCTGGCTGTATGACCTTAGGCAAGCCATAGTTCTGATAAGAGCTGTTCTTGAAAAAGAGCAGTTTCTGTTAGAGCTCTCTCAGCCCCACCTACCTCACAGGGTGTCTGTTGTGGGGAGGGGAAGGGAAAGGAGTTTGTAAACCACTCTGAGACTTCCTTGGGTAGTGAAGGGCGAGGTATAAATCCAATCGCTTCTTCTTCTTCTGAGACTTGATCCTGGTTATGTGGTGGGCTAGTTGTGGCAAATGGTGGGGAAGTTCAGTATTTTTATTGCAAAGTGGTATGGCCTGATATTATGTTCTTATTCTAGTGTGGGGTGTGTGTGGGGCAATGGAAGCTGAGTGATAGGGTCTCTCCAAGTGATTGCCAGAAGTGAGATGTGGCTTGGTCTTGTGTCTTACAGATAATCTTACAAATAGTCCTTTGCATTTATCTCATGCTTTCAACTTTAAAAGGATCATAATGCTGATTGTGTGAACTTAGGCAAATCATGAGAGGTAGAGCAGGAAGGGTTGCATCAGTGCTTAGTTCTTGTGGCCCTTTCTTACAGGGAAATGCTGATCGCCACTTTGGGGCCAGGAAGCAATTTTTCTCCAGGCCAGTTTGGCCCCCAGTGATCCTGGAGGGGTTTTTTTTTAATCATATTCTGGGCGTGGAACAGGGGCCACTGGTGTGGGGGGGTATTGGTGAATTTCCTGCATTGTGCAGGGGGTTGAACTAGATGAGGGGGAAAAGAATGGATCCCAGGTGCTTCTGTCTGTCAGAGGGGCTGGTGCACACTTCCAGTGATGTCAGGGGTGTGTGGCATATGCTAATTAGTTATGCTAATGAGCTCCTGCACCTCTTTTTCTACGGAATGACCCCTGCCTGTAACTGAACCACCACCACCACCGTGCTTCCAAACCTGTCACATGTCTGGAGAATATCCAGGCCTAAAAGATAGTGGACACAATCTTGACAGACTTAAGCATTCTTAAGTCCCACTGATTTCAGTGGAAGAAAAACAAGTGCAGACATGATGATTTTGCCCTCCCTCACAGGATTTCTCTTTATATTGTTCTTAGCTGAGCAGCCTGTTTTCTTATTTCTTTGTTTTTCTCTGGCTATCCCACCCAGTTGTTTGAATGTATATTGGTAAATTCTGACCCAGCCTAGGGAATTGAAGCAAGAGACTAAAATCCTTCTTTTGTCCTTGTTTGATAATGGCACAAGAGAGGCTGATGGTAAATCAAAACTAACAATCTGTTTTATTTCACTTTGAGGGGAAACAGTCAGGTAGGAATCAGGTTTAGGACTTATGAGGTGAACAGGCAACAGGAATGAGGTAACTTTGTATAAGAATAAACACCAGATAATTGTCACAAACGAGTAATTATTTCTGTTATTCAGACAAGTCTTTACAACTTGAGGAGAGAGATTTCTGAAGTCTCTGCTTATATAAACAAGCTTAAGCTTTTTGGTCTCACAAACACTAATGTTGGTGAAGGCAGGAACATTCACACAAGTTCCAGTTTCCTTCTATATCCACTGGCTAGGAATCACTCCCATCTTCTAGGAGCTGTTTCCCTTAGATTTGATAGGAATGGGCTCCACGTCCCACTTCCCTCACTCGGGATCCTTCTTGATCCTCTCACAGTCTGCTTTGCTGTCTCACTGTTAACTGTCAACTCCTGGTCCCTAACTGACACTCTCAAGAATTCCATTTGAATCCTCAGTCTTTCAGGGTTCTCAGACCGCATTACAACATTAACCATTTACTGTCCATCACTGCAGAATTCCATCACTGAAATCAGTCTGCTTTAAAAGTGTTTTCACGTTCTCTAAATTATGCCTCTTAATATTAGTTCAACACTGTTAGCTTCAGTTCCCTGGGTTGGTTTTTATTGCTAAACCATAATAGTTTTGTCACAAAATGCAAAATATCTGCTTGGTTTGGATGCAAACTGGAAAGAATGGCCATTATAAGATGTCTCTCTTTTATCATAAAATTTAGCACAGATAAGAGAGGGCTGTAGTGTCTGTGCATCTTGTACAAATGAATATCCTTCCATTTGATACCTGTCAATTAACAGGGGACAAATTGTAGCCTCAGATCAAATGCTTTAGTTGATGAGTCTACTGACACCAAAGGGTCCCCTGATGTGTTTTCTTAAGTGTGCATGCTGTAAGATCAGAGGTATATGTGCCCTATCATCTGAGATACAGGTGTCTTGTCTGGCCTTTACATAATGCTCAGAAAAGCCGTGACTGATTGCAGACTTAGCTGGAATCCTAAGCTGTGTAGGCATGATAGAAGACAAGCATGGAGACTTTGCTTTTCTCTGTTGCTCAGTTCATTGGAGAGTTCAGACTTAGGATGCCTGCTGCTACCCCAGCACACCACCAGGGGTGCTCACTGCTGTCCCCTCCACTGGAGCAGTTCCACCTCTTTTGGACTTACACAGGTGCAGCATCAGCAAAGCACTGTGACAAACTCTGAGTTATGCCAGCAGCCTTAACAAAGTCTTTTGTCTGCTGTCAGTCATTCTTCTTGGTTAAAATATGTCCAAAATAGGCCAGAAACAGAATGGATGGAAAATATGTAGCAAAAGTCGGGACATGGATAACTGCTATTTTAAGACTGCAGGGTGTTTGTTTTTTTCTTTTAAAGACACTGCGCATCAAACATTGTTGTCAAACCAGATAGCAAAATCCTTTCAATATGAGCCCTATTCCTGAAATAGAAATATATCTACATAGATAAAAACTGTAGTTCATACAGAAATAAAGTCCACCTCAAAATTAAGTATCTATGTGTGCCACCAAGCTCAGTGAATGCCATAAAAATAATGTGTTTATTTAATGGTAAATCCATTAGAGCCTCTCAAAACTGTTTGTGTATGGTATTTAGACTTCCCAAATGAGGTCATATATATATGTGTAGAGAGAGAGAGAGAGTGTGTTTGTATGAGTACAACGTGAAACCAAAGGGAGAAATTTTAATAAATAAGTCTATGCCTCTTTTTCAGGTGCTGAGTTCCCCCAATTTTTCTGGTCCTGGCTAAGCCTTTTAAAGGCCTTTAGGTACAAGTGCATATTTCTAACATCATCAGCACAGATAGGCAGCAATTGCACCTTCTTCAGATGTTGTGGCCTGTATGGAACTGATCAGACCATTTTGGTCACTTGCTTGAAGTTATTCAGGGAAGGTCTGATCCGCACCATAAAGTTACAGCTTTTGCAGAGGTTCTGAATGGTAACACAGAAGTGCAACATATTCAGATTTGTGCTAAGTAGCATAATTACAATTACCGTAATGCTGTTAGCCATTCACTGAATCATGCATTTATGACAGGGCAGAGTGTGATTTTCTTCCTTCTTGGGCTAACGCATCTGTTGCAACATGGCTGTGTAAATGTCCCAAGCATCTACTGTGCCTTGGGGCCAAGAATGTAGATTTGTAATCATAGTTGTGTTGCCAGTTTTCATATTTACATTTGTATGTGTGGGAGAGGGTTATCCATCCTCAATCTTTACGTTAAAAACAAAGTACTATAATATGCCACTCTGTTACCACCTATAGAGAGGGGAAACAGATCAGGTAAGATTTCTTCTTTTAAAAGGAATATTCTCTTGCAGAACTCTCAACAAATCAGTAATGACCAAAGGAAATGGAATTTGTTTGGGTTAACACATGCCTTTGATATGCAATTCACAATCCAAATGGGAATACAGGAGTAGTTTTTTGGGTTATGACTCTAAAAGGCACCTTGTACTTTGTGTTTGAAAGACAATATTCTCCGTCTAGTACATAAATAGGCTTGCTGTTCAGACAGCATGCTGTTTGTTGAATGCGATTGCATTTGAGTTGCCCTCCAGTAGGAGGCACTCTCCTTGGAATGCCTCTGCTTGCTTATTCTTCTCACCCTCTCTCTCTCTCTCTTTCTCATGCTCTTCTACCTCTTCCCACCAGATTATAGACAGCGAGAATGAAGCACTGCTGGCGGCTCTCACCGAGACACTGGATGACATCCAGGGAGACGACATGGGTCTGGCTGCCTTCAGAAATATGGATGAGGGGGACATGCCCAACAGCGGCTGCACATCACCCACCCCCTCTCCCAAACCTGCTGCCCCTGTCTCGAGGGGGCCTCCTCTGGCCCCAGAGGTTGATGAGCTGTCTCTAGTAAGAACCCACTTCCTACTGTTTAAGGTGGATTTGGATGCGCCTCTGATAAGCCGGCTGCATGGGTATGATAGGAAGCAAAGGTCTGAATTTTTTCATTATAGGCTTACAATTATAACGATACAAAAGCATATGCCTGTTGATTGTATACGTATACATGTGTGCCGCGCCATTGCTCTCACTTGCTTTGCTCTATTGCCATCCTAATGGGGGGAACAGTGGGACTGTTGTGGGGAGGGAAATGGGTGACCGACTTAATGCACATTCCAGATCTGTAACCATTTGAAACAAAGCCTTGTTTTATAGCGGAGCCCTTTTCCTGGGGATTTTCTCTCCCATCTCAACCTGCCCATTTGGGCCATTCAGCTTTCAAATGCCATTCACTTGCATGGCCACCAGTTCTTTTGGGCAGGGCTGAGTTCAGTCTTCATTGTTCTAAAAGCAACAAAAAACCGAAAGCAGTTGACCCATAATGGTAACCTAATTTAACCTAAAATTAACATAAGCGACTTTGAGTCTCCCATGTGCAAAGGAGGACAAAAAACTTTCTAAATAACCAAATAAATAACTTCTGGGTCCAGAAAAACTGGATTCTGTGACTGTATACATTATGCAGATTTTGTATAACTCACTCCACTTTGCAAGATGCCATAGCTCTGCCCCACACTGAGGAGCAATCTGGGTGGTTGCTGTTTTCATCTCACCTCTGTCCCAAACACAGTAAGTGGACCTCGGCAAGCCATTCTTCCCCAGCCCTGCATCTTTAAGACAGGGTAGGGTTGCCAAGTCGCGGCAGGGGATCGTATGTCTTCGCAGAATCTGTGCCGCGGGGACGGCGAGACGCATTGCACCCTCTGTCGCCAAGACATGACGCTACGCGTCGCTCTGGTAACGGGGCTCCAAACAGCCCCGTTGCCAGAGCGATGCGTAGCGTCATGTCCTGGCGATGGCGGTGCAACACATCTCGCCGTCCCCGCGGCACGGATTCTGCAAAGACATGAGGATCCCCCGCCACGATTTGGTGAGATTTAGGAGCCCTAAGACAGGGAATAATTTGGGCCCATCTTACAGGACTGTTGTAATTTGTACAATATAAGTGAAGCACATTGAGCACTAAAAGCACTATGTAAGTGCTAAGTCAGTCACCCTGTTAGCTTCTGCGGTTGCCCTGTATGCTTTCATGGAAGAGAATTTTAAAAAAAACCCTCTAAACTTAAGGCCCTTTCGGATGCAGAATTCTGCAGCCACTACACCCTGTTGTTTCTGAGCTTATGTGGAATTGCAGAATACACAAAGCCCTACCTGCATCTGCGATGCACAGTTCAGGAAATGTGGGGGCCCTAGGCTGCAGTCCTAGCGATTCTTGGTTCTCTGTGGCTTCTGTTGCAGTTTCCTTATCCATTGGCTTGCAAGGAAAAGCCACCGACAGGGAGATTTTATCACTGCTAAAAGCAGCAAGTCCTGAGGGGAGTCTAGAGAGCTGGAAGTTTTCCATTAGGCTCTTCTTGCCTTCTGTTACCTGGCCATGTTTTAACTTATCTGACACAGCAGAGCAATTCTTCTCCCTTGTCTGATAGGTAGAGCGCTGGTGTGGGGAAGTTGGTTTATAAACCCAGGCCCTTGGTCTTTCATTTTCAAACCTTATCTGTCATTAATGAATGTCGTGATTTCTAAAAGTGTATAGCGGCATCTGGTGGTGAAACTTGTGCATTTTCACTTCACACAGAAGTGTGCATGTGCATGGGTGTATAAAATATATATATCACACAAATACATATGTGTATATATAGGATGTATACGTTACAGGGAAGGGAAGGAAATGACTTTTCATATTTGTTCCTATGGAGCATTCTTTATCATATAACACTAAACTGAAAGGTCATTGTGTTTTAATGAAGAGAGCAATCATTTGACCGTGGGAACCCAAATGTTTGAGTAAGCTTAATTTTTAAAGAGCTTTTTGAGTTTCCAGAGTGCCTTTGAAGATTTTCCTCTGCTGCACATTCCCACAAGAGCCAAATCTGCCATTTTGTTACTGATCCCTTGTTGCCTTCAGTGTGAGAATGTGAAATACTTTTTAAAAAATCGAAATATCCCAGCCATGTAATCAGACTCATTTGGGCAGTGATACTGGGCACTCTTAAAATAATCACAGTTGTGCTGCTTCACCCACAGCATCCTTGATGGGATTTAAGTAGCATCCATGATAAAGAGCATCAAAAACTTGGCATTTTGACAGAGCATGTCTTCAAAGCACTTGGCAAATGGATGAACTAATTAATCCAAGTCCTTGTTAGAATGTTACATCAAATTGATTATTTTGCTGGAACCAATGTGTGCTTTCCAGTTAATCTATACAAGTGTGTGTGTGTGGGGGGGGGTCACAAGTTGTGTGTGGAAGAGGAAAGTAGTGGCATTAGGGAAGAGAGGCCTCACTATGCCACCATCACCACCAAGAGGCATCTTAAATAACCCCACGGAGGGGGAAGTAGGTTCAGATATTGGGCACCTGGGAATGGACTTCCAACAAGCCGAGTCTTCACCTTGTGATCCATTAAGCTGTAAGGGGTTGTTCTCTTCTGTAGCTTAAAGGATGCTTGTGGGTGGGGAATCAGCATGCCACTTCCTTGTTGGTTGAGTTCTTGACTCCTTTGCTGTCCTCAGCAGTCTATGTTCTAAGGGCGGTGGACATGTGTAGCCCTCAACCTCTGTTGGGCTGGAGGTTTGAGTTTGGAGAAGCAATGTGACATTGCTCCCACCCCTCTACTACCAACATTTCCCTACCTACCTAGGAGGTCTCTTCCAACTCCCACTCCTGGGCTGCACACTCTGTTTCACCTCCCAGCATGATCACCCATGAAGAACCCGCTTTGGCAATTGATTTTGCACTTATAGGCTCTGCGGTGCCCAGACAGGTCTTGCACTGCTAATAAGAAGCAGCAGAAGGCAACATCTCTATTGGATTCTTCAGAGATATTTGGAGGAATACCCAGAAAGGGCTTGTAAAGTGTTTTGAAGACATCAGTGTAAAGTATTAACAGCAATTGTCTCACAGGCAATAACTGCTAATACCTGCAGCCAAACAGCTCACCAAAATGAAGTAAAAATCATTCCCAGTTTTGAGCATTTCTCTCCATGTACCCATCACTTGCAAATCCACATAGGAAACCTGCAGGTAATTCATCATCATAGCTATGCATGCAGGATTTTTACTGCATGTAACCCATGGACAAGGTTTTGCTGTCACTTTTGAAAGGAGGCTTTATGGAACTGGGTCCAGAAGTATCCAGAACATGTTGGATTTGCAAGAGGCATGGATTCAAGAGGCGTGCCTCAGAAGTTAGCTTTGCCAAAGCCACTCTAGCCTTCAACCCCAAGGTATGTTGGAAGCTTCCAGCAGAATTGGGAATGCCAAACCTCATGGAGGATGATGGGAATGTGTCACCGTATGCTGAAGTAACTGTTTTGGTCTAGTACTTTTAGTCTGGATCACTGGCCCAATTGCTTATTGTATGACTTGGGGGGGGGGATTGGGGACAATATAGCCAGAGGTCACTGTTCATGTATTCAGGAATTCCCACTCTTTCTTTCACCACAACCTTTTTGCAGCTGAAGAAGTTGCTTCTTTCTCCGTCCAATGTGCCTGCAAGCTATGAGTTTCCAAAAGAGGCAAATGTGTGGCAATCAGGAGCATCCAGATCCCGATCCCAGAGGCCCTGTACAAAGGTATTGTCCATCTCCGCATCCATGGCCTAAGAGATTATTTATTTACTTACTTTATTTACCTTAGTCATCTTAGAAAACCAGGTGGCTGCAGTGGCTCAGAGTGCTTTTGCCCAGCTTTGGCTTGTACACCCCTTCCTGCTTCAGCCATATCTACCCCCAGTGATTCCATGCCTTAATTACATCTAGGCTAGACTACTGCAATATGTTCTACTTGGGGCTACCCTTGAAGAGTGTCTGGAAGCTGCAGCTAGTGCAGAATGCTGCAGCTGGACTTCTGGTCATGGCCAGCTACTGGACACATATGACCCCCATACTGCAGCAACTACACCCGCTCCTGAGCCCAATTCAAGGTTTTGTCCTTCAAAGCCCTACATGGCTTGGGACTAGGATATCTGAAGAATTATTTTTTCCTATATGTTCCAGTCCAGGAATTAAGGTCACAAAAAAGCCCTCCTGACAGTCCCACCAATCAAAGAATCTCGCCTGGTGGGCATGTGAGAGAGGGCCTTTTCAGGGGCAGCTCTACAATTATGGAACAACCTCCCCAGGTAGGTGCACCTGGCCCCCTCACTTTTGATCTTCAGGAGGCAATTGAAGACAGATCTATTTAGGACTGCATTTGACTGATTTAGTTTTTATTTATTGGCAGTCCTAATTGTTACAGTCATTATGTGTTTTTAATAATCACTGTTTTATTTATATTGTAAGCCACTGTTCCACAGGATAGATAGGTGGCTAACAAATGTTTAAATAAAATAAATAAAATTCATATCCCACCTTTCTTCCCAGTGGGGACCCAGCATGACTTACATTATTCTCCTCTCCTCCAGTCTCTCTTCACAACAACCTTGTGAAGTTGGTTAGGCTGAGAGTGTGTGACTGGGCCAAGGTCCCCCAAGAAGCTTCTATGGAAGAGTGGGGATTCAAACGCAGGTTACCCAGATTCTAGTCTGATACTCTAACTACCATACTGATGATGCAGCACAATATAGTTCCTGAAACAGAGAAAAAGATTTTTAACTGAAGCCTATCTTCCATTTTAAATGTGAAATACCCCATTTTAAGTATGACTGGTGCAGGCCAAATTTCTTAAGCATGTAGGGCTGTTCCATCTGTATCGTTGCAAATAAGATTGCCTAAAAATCCATCATAGCAATATTGAGGGTGATTCACCAGTTATATATAATTAAATAGTTTTTAGCTCCACTATGCATTGTTCTTCAATTTAAAGAGAGAACTTGGCTCAAATCAGAGGTTGAAGAATGTCTGTGAGACCTCTTACCTGATGTGCACCAGAAGATGAGAGTTCAAAAGCCCATGGTGTACAGCAAAAACGAGGGGCTTATCTTGCACATACAGTTGTGGGGGTGCTTTGAATCCCCCCTTCCTGCAGCCGAGGCAGAGCAGAGCAGCAGCCTCAGAAGGCTAGCAGGTGACTCGGCTGCATTCTGCATCACCTGAAGCATCCAGGGAGCCTTTAAAAGGCAGTTCTGCTGGGAGTCTATTCTGGTCAAGCAACATCATTGCTTCTGCTTTGGGGGGAAAAATAAACACCTCCTGATCATGCCATTTCTTATATGGTTCTCAGTACCATTGGTTACTTTTAAAGCTGACATTGACAACTGCTAATTTTAAATCAAATCGTGAAAAGTTTGTCCATAATCTGGTTTGTGAAAGAGAGAAAACTGCTTCTGGAGTTACCTGGGATGAAGGACATTCCATGTTTCCTTGTTACTTTAGGATGTTGTATGCAATGCCCCAGCCATATACCAAGCACAAAAATATTGACACCCATTATTTGGCAGAGCTCGGCCCTCCTCCTAAAGAGGTTGGCATGTACATTAAAATGTACTTCCAGCTCTGGCCCATTGGGTTGGCTCCAAGCTAACTTTTCCGGGGGGAGGGGGATAATTTCCATCAGTTTCCCCCTTCCTGCTGCAGACCACTGATTTGCCTCTTTTACCGAGATTCCCCTTGCCCCCCAAAAGCAGCATTGCTGGTAGATCAGTGGGCTGCTGTGGGAGGGAGGGCTGCAACGGAAGTTGTGTTCTGTAGACAGAAGTACCTAGCTTGAGCAGAATACTTAGTCTAAATCTGGTCCGTTGTTTGGAGAGCAAAGTGCCAGGACTGCAGAAGCTGGCCGTCTCTGAGTTAAAGGAGGGACACGACACACACATGACTAAAGGTTATATTAGAGGATTCTGTAATGTTTCATTAAGGACTAACAATAGGAAGGCAGCATGGTTTTCCCTCAGTGTGCTCTTTGGAACAGCTTCCTTGAGCACTGCGTGCAAAGTCTCGTATCTTTGTGTGTGTGTTTTTCACCAGATTCCTCTCTTAATTAAACACTATCATGATATTTTGCTTTGTCTCTCTCACTCTCATTCCTGACCCAAATTAGAGTGGAACTTACTAACAGCTGATTGAATTGACTTCAGCAGAGCAAAGAGCTGCATGTAAAGTTGCAGAACCAGTCCAGTCATTTAAATTAATCCCCTGAAATCCACACACAAGATGCCATTAAAGATTTTTTTCCACGTGGATAATGAAAATGGTGCAGTGCATTAGACAAGTGGACTTAGATTGCATGGGAAAGGCAGCAGGAGGAGTGGGACATTGGAGACTCCACACCGGCTGGAAGGAAAGGAACGAGATCTGGAACGCTGTTTGTCACAGACACCAGCTAGAAAGACATTTGAGACAGGAGGCATGAAGAATCAATTCAATTCATCCTGTTCCAAATGGCATTTTTTAAAAAATGTACGCATATTCTCTCCTTCCTAATATACCCAGAACACTTTTCCAAAGTGGGCACAATCAATGTCTTCCAGAATCTCTGTTACTTGTCAGGTCAACAAAGTGGTTTACAGCATTTTAAAAATACATCAACTTCTTCCAGTCTGTTCCATTCTCCACTTATTAGCACCCATTGGTGGTCTTAGAATGGTATAGTTGCTTGAATACTGATTATTCTAGTCCCTTCCTTTCAGGTTAAATTCTCTGGAAGGAAAACAGAGCAAAATAGTTATCTTAAGTAGCAGTCTGAAGCAGGTCTCCTCAAAATCCCACTCAAGTCTATTCAGTGGGCTGGATCCAGACGGAATTTTCTAATGGTATAATTGCTCCTTCCTGCCACCCTGCCCTACTGCAGATGAGCAATCTCCACAAAATGCTGTTCATGAGTGATATGGGACCTTCATATGGGAGGGGGGACCGTCATATGGCGAAAGTGCAGTTTTAGTCTGGATCCAACCCAATGTGGCTTACTCCCAGGAAAGTGTACTTAGGATGGCACTGTTACTTCTTGATTCTAATAAATCAATAAATTTTATTTAAAGACAGACTGTTATATCCTTTGCCTGGTTAAGAAAATTCAGTGATGACTTACAAGTGTAACCTAGGAAAGATTTCACGCTTCTTTCCCTTGTTTTGTTATTGTATCTGTCTTGTGTCCTGGCTGATATGGATTTTCATCAAAATCCATCCAGTGCCACAAGGCACTTTTGTCTCATAAATGTCTGATGTCGCCTTTTGAAACACCAACTTCTGAAGTGCCATGAAATATGTAAAAACTTCAAATTAAACTTGTAATAGCTTACTGTAATGTGCTTAACCACCCAGATTTGGGGAGGGGGTGTTGAAAGGGGGACTCTTCATGCTATGGCTTGAAAAACCTACTCATCAGCTAGTCTGACTCTTTTCTCTCCCTCTCGTCTTGAAGGTGGATGGTGTTCGAGACAGGAAGTCAAGCTTTCTCCAGCCTCAGAGTCGAAGTTGCACTGAGCTTCATAGGCACCTCACCTCCTCCTCCATTACCACCACACATTGCCCACACACAAAATCCAGCTGGTCCCTAGATGAGTGCCACAGTAGCAACGACGGCAATGAGCCCCAGGGACATTATGCCCACAATGGAGAGGACAGTGACTCCAGTGAAGATCCGCTGAGTTTCAGTAACATTGCAGCAACTCCTCCCTCCTCCTCAGAGGAAGGCAGCAGTGAGAAGGAGCTTCGTGCTGCTGTGGAGCTTATCCGCTACATGCATACCTACTGCCTTCCTCCCAGAAAGCTGCCCCCTACAGGACTTGCAGATGTAAAACACCAGCATTACCACAGCCCTTCCAAAAGAGCAAAGCCAGACTGCCCCCTACAAAGGCCTCTCCTCTGTGACAAGGACACTCGTTCCTCTCGTTCCTCCTGGCATGCTTCTGCAGGTTGCAAACAGTCCAGAGTCGCCTCCTCCGATTTCTCCATCTTGAAAGAGCTGCTAGCCAGAGACCTCCCCTGTGACGTGAGCAAGCCATACCGGTTGGCCAAGCCTGTATATGCCTCCTTGGCCAGGTCACAGCCTCCCAAATCTCCAAGGCCTCCACCCCTTGAGACTGGGCGGGCTGCAGAGACAAATACGTCCACAGCCAAAATGCCACCAAAGGAGAAAACTGGGCTTAGGCAGAGTGCCCCCATAGAGCCCGAGGCTAAGAAAGAGGCTGGCGGCCCTGGAGAAGAAGACGGGGCAAAGCAAGGGACTTCCTCAGCCCAGCTGGCCTCTGGGAAGATGGTTCGCAAGCAGGAGAGCTCTGTCTACGCAGTACGTCGCTCCAAAAGACTGAACCCTGAGCTAAGTCTCTGGCTGTCGTTCCTTGAGGAGTCTCCATCAGACCCTGCTATATCCACAGAGTCAACGGGGGATGGGGCAAAGGAGCCATTTCCCTCCACAGCACCTTTAGAAAACTTTGATACAGAAGCACCAGCAGCAGAGGTGGAAGTCAGTGGTGTGGATGAGGTGGAGAGTGAATGTCAGAGCCACCTGATGGAGCTGCAGACCCCTTCTCCTGAGAGCTCTGGAGAGAGCAAGGCATATGAGATAAATGAGATATCCTGCTGTACCCTCTTGCACCAAACAGGTATGGAGACAAGCCTCCTCGTGGCAGCCCCCTATGTCAGTATTCCCACAGTTTGAAATAGGGGGTGCAGAAAGGCATGGAACAGGCATGTGCTAGAACTTCCTTCTAGGCAGAGCATGATGCTGTATGGGCCCCATGTCCTGCCAGTTCAGCAGAGGGGAAACTGGGTAATGGGTTGCCTTAAGTAAAACACAGGAGCCGCCCTTCACATTATCAAGGGTGAGGGAGGAGTAGCAAAGTTCTGACAAAGTATTGATTAAAACAGGACTTTACAAAGTGCAGCATGCTTTATGGACGGACCCCCATACTGATGAATTAGCTGGCAAAGCCTCGAATTCAGAGCCCCCAATTCCTCATTGCCAGACCGCTAAACTGAGCACAGTTGCAGCTGGTTGAGTCATTCTACTCTCACTTTCTTTCCTTTCAGAAGCACCCAGGTGTCTGTCGCTGCCCTTGGCACAAATGTAAGTGTGATGCCAAAAATACATCTTCTTAAGAGGGTGATAGGCCCAGGTTGCAGGAGCCCAGCTCCATCTGGAAAATGGCAATCTCAGACCACTGCAGCCCTATTATCCCTGCCCAAGTGTTGCTTGGCTAGGATCAAATTGGAATGTCTTTTGCAGCATAAGGGCTGTTTCACTGAATCGGCACAGTTTTTAAGAAAAAAACTGTATTGCTATTTCAGTACAGCATCGTGGTCTGCAGACTCAGTCAGCTAATCACTCAATAACAAGACATGTTCATAGTGGGTGGCTTACTTGCTAAGAAGCTCAAAAAATGTCCTGTGGTCAGTGAGGAGACAGCACAGTAAATAGTACTTGACAATGGAGGGTAGGAGGTTTAACGCTCTTTGGGATGCAGGTACCAGCACCTGGTGAATGTCTTTCTGGAGACTGGAACTTCTGATACTCTTGGAACTTCTGATAGCTATTTAGGTCCCATAGTTTCATGCATTTACGACCTGCTCACAGGAACATGCATATGTGGTCAGGAACCACTGACCACAAACAGATATCACTTGCAGCTTAGGGTGTGTCATGCATCATCATCACACACAGATATGGCCCTGTGCATATGAAAATATAACACACAGCCATAGAAGTAAATCTACCAAGAGTTTTCATCCCACACATTTTTATTAGCCCATACTAGACATGTGAAGCTTTAAAAAAAACAAAACATTTCATTTATGGTTTACAAAACCTGCCCTGCCAGGTTACCTGCAGACAAATCTTGCTTATCAGAAGCTATCAGTCTTGTGGCTATTTTCCAGCCTGGTAATGTGGGAATTAGCAGCCTGAATAGCTCTGACTAGCCTGAGCTCCTCAGAGCTTGGAAGCTAAGTAAGGTTGGCCATGGTTAGTACTTGGATGGGAGACCACCAAGGAAGACAGAGGAAGGCAGTGGCAAACCACCTCGGCCAATTTCTTGTCTTGAAAGCCCTATGGTCCTGGGATCACCATGAGTCTGTTGTGTCTTGGCAGCAATGTGGGAATCAGCCCTTAGAGGTCTGGGACAACACAGGCTTTGTGATTTGTAGTCTCCCTATTCCTGCTTCATCTCATGAAGTGTGGATTCCCCTTGGTCCCCCTGTAACCACCCATTCTTTTTTCCTCTCTTCTTTAGTGACCCTACATTTGGGAAGCAGAACTTTGAGCAAGTGCTGACTGTAGAGCTGTGTGGCACTGCAGGTAAGGGAGAAGTTCAGCACTTTAAAGGGGCTTGCCCAAAAAGTGAGGAAAAGAGAGTGCAGTGCCCAAAAGTTAAGCCTCACAAGTAATGTTGGGTTGTTAAACTGCTCAGAATTCACTAATCACCCCTTGAAGGAAAGGAAATCCAGGTGTCTTCAGTCACATTTCCCTTCTTTCCCTTGCTGAGAAGGGCAGTTTTTGTAACAGCAGACAAATGTCTAGTTGTGAACTCCTTTGAGGCTGCTTTGGCCATTTTCAAAAGAGGAGAGCTCTTATCTAAATAGCAGGGCATGCTCACCCAGGACCAATTCAAAGAGTGTGTTTGAGGGGGTGGGAGTGCACGATGAATGCTCAGGCCTGCCTCCTCTTGCAGTGAACAGGTTATTATTTTCATGGTTCTGTACTTAAAAAGTTTTACCCTTCTGCTTTCTTGGGGGAGATAAGGTCTTACACCACCAACGACTCCGCCATACAAGCCTTCAGAGGAGGACCTGTATAAACCTGACATTCACCAGAGGCCTGCAAAGGAGACTGCTGTCATCACCAGCTCTGAGCTGCAACCAGCAACAGGCAATGGGGCAAACTCCAGGAAGTTCCAGAAGAAGCATCCAGTGCGGACAGAGCTGTACGCCCACCTGAGTCGGGCTGCTGCCCACCCATCTCACCTTGAGCAACATGGGATGCTGAAGCGCCCTTTCTCACGTTCTTTCGGTGACCACGACTACTGCCAAGTCTTGAAGTCTGAGGCCTCACTCCAGAGGAAGGTGCTGAAATCCTGGGAACCCCTGAGCTATGTGGAAAGCCAGCACAAGCGGAGAGTGCCTGATGTACACTATCGGGGTGCAAGCGAAGAGGGCACTGTCAAGGCCTCAGCAAAGGAGGGCAGCAAACAGCTGAGAGACCAGGAGATCAGAGCCAGCTTGACAAAACATTTTGGCCTCTTGGACAGTGCCCTGGATGATAGGGAGACAGCCCTCTGCAAGGTGCCTGACTATGACACTGTCTTTGAGGACAGCTGCAGTGAGATTGGTTCCCCGCTAGAAGAGGAGGAGGAGGAGGAAGAGTGCTGCTCAAGTCCCTTGGAATCCAAGATGTGCCCATACAAGAATCCTCTTTCTAGAGCCAGTTTGCACTATTGTTCCAGAAGCAGGCCTGGTTCTGAGTCTCCATGTGGCAGGTCCAGGTCTCCAGCAAGCAGATGGGCTTTCAGGTACTGTCATGAGGCCTATCCTTAATGAGAGGGGGACTGAGCTAGGCCTTTAGCAGGCACATCAGCAGCAGAGAGTGCATAGGAGAGCTTTTACACTCCCTTGGAGATGGAATTTAGAAATCATACGGAGTCTTTTATCATGGGGAAAGATAACATATGCACACAACAGTGATACATTTTTTATGCAGAGGAGGGTGGCAAGAAGCTACTAAGGTATAAAGAAGGGGAGGGGTCATGGCTCAGTGGAAGATCTTCTGCTTTGAATGCAGAAGGTCCCAGGTTCTCTCTCCTGGCATCTCCAGTTAAAAGGACCAGGAGGTAGGTGATGTGAATGACCCCTGGAGAACTGCTGCCAGTCTGAGTAGACAGTACTGACTTCGATGGACCAAGAGTCTGATTCAGTGTAAGGCAGCTTCATGTGACCCTGGAGAGTTACTGCCAGACTGAATAGACAATACCTACCTTGGTGGACCAAGGGCCTAATTCAGTATAAGGTAGCTTCATGTGTGTTCAAGAAAGCAGTACAGGAAAGCTAGGCAGGAAGGGAGACTGGTGCACAGAGAAACAAGTAGAAACTGGGGTTAAGATTTCTGTGTTTGACCCTCTACTAGAGAAACGTTCTTTTCGGAAATACTGAGGTTCTGAGGAGTGTGACCAGAATATAGATTGTGACCAAAATATCCCTGACAAGCTGCAGGTAGCCTTCGAGTAGAGTAGGTACAGCTCAGTAATACTGCAGAAACCAAGCCCTGTGAGCTGTTCCAGGAAGCAAACTGTTATTTTACTGTGTATGCTGCATATGCATTGATAGTACCCTTTTATTAATAACAAACAATATTCTTAGTGACAGTAGGAGTAAGAGTTGTAGAAGTAGTAGTAATATTGTTTTTACTATTATTGTCATTTTCCATAAGAGTAATAATAAAGTGAAAGACCATGTCTCTGGTTGTTTGCTGACACAATCCATGCATTCTATGTTGATTTAAAAAAAAACAACAGACCTGTCAAACCCTGCAGACAAGGAGCGTGCCTCTGTTGATTTGAGATTTCTAGCTCTCAGACCAGACAGAGTCCATTCGGGACTGAAGTCTTGTGCTTTCTTGTTTAACAACAGATGTGAAAACGGCAGGCAGTGTCAGGATGGAACTGTGAGCAACCCAGGGCAGATGGAAAAGCGAAGAGAAAAAGCCATTGTAAGTGACCTTTGAGCTCTGAATGGGGTTTTTGCAGTGAATGGAGTGGAAGCGGTGTGGTTTCCAACCAGAACAGATTGCTTCCTCTTTCCAAAACTCATCTAAATGCAGAGGTCAAGCAATTCACAGGCCCTTGGTTCAACGTCCGTTCCACAAAAGAGTAACATGGTCCATTGGCTGGTGTTACAGTATCCCCTTGTGCAAAGCCAGTAGAAGCGCAAGGGTATTGGAAAGAAATAAAGTGAAAGCAACTGGCAACATGTTGAGTTCTTGGCACAGCAGTAGCCCAATACAGAACTCATCAAATAGCAATGTGGGGAATGGAGTCCTGGGGAATACCTGTAAGTCCAGAAAATGAAGGAAACCAAAAAAAAGCACATAACACTCCTGCAGGAGGTGTGGAATGCACTCCAAGCCACTGGTTTGCTCATCTTGGGAGACTTTTGTTGATGTGAAAAGCAGGTTGCTTACCAGTAACTGGTGATCTTCGAGTGGTCATCTGTGCATTCACACCCATGGGATCTAGTGTGCACGCGCTGGATCGATCGGTGCTGTAGCAAGCTCTTTTAACGGATTTTCACCCCCAGTCCTTCGGGCATGTGCAGGAAACCCATCGCGCATGCCGAGAGGGGTGGGCGCGGACATCCCGCCAGTTCCTACAAACTGCCACAAATCAACCCCTAATAAAAATGTAGAAGCTGACAGCAGCGGGGAAGGAGGGCGGGTGGTGTGAATGCACAGATGACCACTCGAAGATCACCAGTTACTGGTAAGCAACCTGCTTATCTTCTACGTGGTCTCTGTGCATCACACCCATGGGAGATTAGCCAGCAGTAGCCTACCTGGAGGAGGGTGCTGGCAGGTCTTTTACTGTGTAGCCGAAGACAGAATGTGACATCCCATGTTGGTATTGGTGTTCGTACGGACGTCTATGGCGTAGTGCCTTATGAAGGTATTAGGCGTGGCCCACGTAGCGGCTTTGCAAATGTCCATCAGTGGCACTCCCTGGAAGAAGGCAGTGGAAGTTGTGACACCCCTGGTAGAATGAGCCCTGATAGGACCAGGCAATGGCTGTTTGGCGATCAGGTAACACAGACGGATGAGACCCACAATCCACATTGACAAGCGCTGGGCCATGATGCGAGTGCCCAGTCGTGCCGACGCGTAAGAGATGAACAGTTGTGAATCTCGTCTAGTCGGGTGTGTTCTATTGAGGTAGAACAGGAGAGCCCACTTCACATCTAAAGTGTGTAATAATTTTTCCTCCGCTCATGTTGGATTTGGAAAGAAGTCAGGGAGGAAGACCTCCGCCTGCAGGTGGAACTCTGACACCACCTTCGGCAGGAAGGAGATGTCCGGGACGAGGCGGACTCCATCTGGCAGAAATGATAGGTAAGGTGTATCGTGTCGGAAAGCCAATATTTCTCCAACTCGCCTTGCCGATGTGATAGCAATTAAAAAGGCCGTTTTCCATGCGAGGAGTTTGAGGTCACATGTAGCAAGCAGCTCAAAGGGCTTCCTCGTGAGCTGGCGTAGAACTAGAGGAAGGTCCCAGGGAGCGACTGGAGTTTTGACAGGAGGATAGAGGTGTAACAAACCTTTTAAAAATCGTTTGGAAATCGGATGAGAAAACGAAGTGCATCCGTCAACTGGAACATGGTAGGCCGAGAGAGCGGCCAAATAAACTCTTAACGATGAATGGGTAAGTCCTGAGTCAGCTAAGGAGAGGAGGAATCGGAAAACTCTTTCGATACCCACTGAGGTGGCTCGAGGAGCGTCATCACCTAGGGAAGAACAGAACCTTCGCCATTTATAATTGTAAGACCTCCGCGTAGTAGGCTTCCTGGAATTCAAGAGGACGTTCACTACATGGGAGGAGAAGCCGGTGATGTGATCTGCCATGCTGTCAGTTTCAATTGTGGTATGTCATGATGTAGGACGGGGGAGTCGGAGAGAAAGAGGAGGTCCTGAGCCAGAGAGAACTGATGGTATATCCCCTGTGATAACTCAAGGACCGTTGAAAACCAAGGTTGTCTTGGCCACCATGGGGTTATTAAGATAAGTCTGCGGCGTCTTTGAGTATTTTGCGGACCACTCTCAGAAGCAGAGGTAAGGGGGGGAACAGGTAAAGAAGTCCCGAGGACCAAGGGTAAAGGAGACTGTCTCCCAGAGATTGTGGGTCCTTGCCTCCTTGACTGCAGAACAGAGGACACTTTTTGTTGTTTCTGTTTGCAAAGACATCAACTTGGGGAACTCCCCAATTTTGGAAGAGTGGGAGGAGGTATGTTGGGTTCATTCCCCACTCGTGAAGGCTGAGTCCTGCTCGACTTAGATGGTCTGCCTGCACGTTCATGTGTCCGGGAATGTGAGTGGCTACAATGAATATGTTGTTGGCGATGTAAAGCTCCCACAACTGAATGGCAAAGGTGCAGTCATAGGGAAACAGTGCCTCTCTGTCTGTTGACATAAGAGAGCGCTGTGGTGTTGTCTGTGAGGACCGTGACACATTTTCCCTTGATTAAC